TTTATGGTGAAAAAAAAAATGAAAAAGAGAAAACAAATTTATTAAAATAAAAGTAGGAATATATTCGTCTTTTACTGTCATCACAATTGCCACAAATAAATTTAGGAATATATTCGTCTTTTACTGTCATCACAATTGCCACTTTGTGGTATTTTTTGCAAGTCATCAAGATTATGACAATTTTTTAAAAACATTCTAAAAAATGGTATTTTTGACAATTTTCCTTTTTATATATCTATGGTTGTATAGTAAGACTTTTTTTTTTTTAAGTAAGCAAATTACTCTAATATTATTAATTCTTTATATTATAGCTTATTGAACAAAATTTTGTTTGGCCTTTTGGTTAATTTAGTTTTGTCAAATACGACAAAAAAACAAAAAAAAAGTTGGTCAAATAGTTGGGATCTTTTGTTGGATCAAAATTAAGGTAGATAGACGATTAATAGTTCCTTGAAGCGAGGAACTGTTTTAGGCGAGCTCTGTTTTAGTTCCTTGAAACTTTACTTCTTGAAATCGATTAGTAAACAAATCAAAACCAAATTTGAAGTTAAATATTGAAAAACAAAGCGATAAATAAAAAGAGAATATGAATTTTTAGGAGTAATTTGACTCATTTTGTCTTTTTTATTAAATGGTAATCAACCACTTCTTTGTAATCTTTAAACAGTTTCTAACACTTTACACATAGAAAATCTGTCCAACATTCAAAAGACTCTCCTGAGGGACATTGAAAATTGCACTATTTTCTCTACAAATCTTCCTAAGAAACGCATACACATAATCAATGGCTAATCTCTTGTAGAACCTTGCTTCTCTCCTGGCTCGAACCACTGTATTCCCCATTATGTGCACCACTCCCGCGTCTCTGCACCGATTTATGAACTCATGCTCGTCCATTTCTCCGCTCATCTGGCTCGACCCCGTCACCGTGTTGCTTGTTCGTTTGGTTACGTTTGCCCCTGCCGGAGCTATAACCGAGTCTATAGAATCAAATGTATCAAACGTAGACAAGTTCCTGATCTCGTTTCCGTTCCCAAGGCTGTCTTTGGTCTGTTGTTGGTGGTGGCTACCACAGACGCTGTAATCGTCGGAATCAGAACAGCCTTCCATCATTGACTCGAGGCGGATGAAAAGGAAGAGGCTTTCAAAGAGCCGTTTCTCAAAGTCGTCGTCTTTCTTGTGCAAATCTCTGTATCCGTATCTTGCGACACAGCGGAACATGTGGAAGTTTTTGGGTCCGATTCTTTTAACGAGGAACCGCTCTTCTTGGGGAACAGTGTAGACAGGAAGGTTCTTGACGCAGACAAAGACCACAACAGAGTGAATGGCCGGTAGGTTTGTGATGAAATGAGAGAATATGTGAGGGACTCCGCTAGCTAGCTCGGTGTAGACAAGACCAATCCCGGGAACTCGGACAAGCCCGAGACTAGGACCGAGCCCGAGTATCCAAGCCATGGAGACTTTACTATGCATTTCAAACTCATACCTCTTGAGTGTTCCATAGTGCCAGACGTACATGATGACCAGAAAGGCTGCTGCAATGACGAGCGGGACCCACCCGCCTTGGTTAACCTTGAAAAGAACTGCCGAGAAGTAAGTGCATTCGACAATGAGCGACAGAACAGTGAATAAGAGGACTAGAACCCAGTGGCACCGCCAAACGAGTATCATGATCAGCATCATGAGAAGTGTTGTCACGAGCATGACTATCACAACCGCAGTCCCATAAGCGTTTCCTATCTGACTCTGGTTCTTGAATCCGGCCGTGACTGCTATGCAGAGGATCATAAGGATCCAATTTATATCCGGAACGTAAATCTGACCGAGAAATTTCCGAGAAGTATGCACGACTTTAACTCTCGGAAAACATCCATGGGCTAGAGCTTGCTTGATCAACGAGAATGTCGCCGATATTGTGGCTTGGCTTGCAACTATTGCAGCAAAGGTTGCAATTATGAACATTGGCCAATAGACACTTTCTGCAACAACCAAAACAAAAACAGAAACTTTCACATGAATTTATTTTCCGGAGGTAAAATTTGATAAAACAAAACTGATCAAGGATGTAACATACTTGGAATGGATTTGTAAAAGGCATCTTCCACATGATGCGGGTAGTTTCTAAGGTACGCAGCTTGTCCGCTATACGCCAAAAGGAGGCAAGGAAAAACAATTACAGTGAAAGCAATTTGCACTGCTGGGACCGGAAAATGTGATAGATCCGCAAAGAGAGCTTCAATCCCTGACATTTTATGGACATAATAACAACAAACAATGAGTAACAAAGAAAGGGTAATAGGATCTAGAAGACAAAAAATATTTGACCTGTTTTGTTTTACCTGTGATACTAAGCATGATGCCTCCAAGCGAGGTCCAGCGATCTTGGCCTCCTCTTTTAAAATACCGATATATATAAACAGGGGAGAAAGCTTTCAAAACGCTCGGGTCATGTTTACATATATTGTACATACCGATACTTGCGATAAAGAGAAACCAAAGAAATACAATTGGCGCGAAAAGCCACCCGACCCTGTCTGTTCCATAATGCTGTACACTAAACAAGCTTACTAATATC